CCCCCCCCCCCCGTAGAGGGGAAAAATTTAAAATAACCGGGGATCTTTATGAAAAAAAATTTTTTAAAAACCCCCCCCCCCCCCCCCCCCCCCCCCTCTTTTTTTGTGAGTAGGATGTAACGTAAACCACTGAATTAAATTGGTCTCGCCTAATGCTTAATTTATTTTCAAAATGCCAAGAAAACATTTGTTCTTGATCTTCGAAAATCCAATACATATTCAGCCACCATGACGCACAAACCTGATCCACATTTTTCGGATGCAAAATTATGCGACTCTTTGTCATTGTTAATTTCGGAGAAAAAACACTATACAATAAGGTATCTCCTGACAGTTGAACTTACAATTATGTGGATCACAAATATAAAAAAACTTACATGTCAATAAAACCATAACATTTCTCAATACTAATACCAAATGCAAAATATCAACCCTAATTCTTTTGCTCATACGAAAACAGTAGCGCATGAATCAATATTGCATTATAAGCAAATCACACAGGAGTTTGCCCTCGGTTTATATATATGAAGTCACACAGAAATCTTTATTATATGAGAGGAATCGTAAAAAGTTGGTTTCAAAATTATTTAATACATGAAAAGAAGCAATAGTCATCATTGACACGTTTGAATAGATTCCTTTAAAGATTCGGAGGGAACTAAACACAATCTAAGGCACGCACCATTCACGACTCTCAGATAATATCTATTTCCTTTCTATAATTTTGTTTAACCTTTATCTTTCCTTCAATGATTAATCTCTCATCTCATTGATATTTGACTCAAGTTATTTATCCACCATAACTCCTTTAACCCGTTATTGTCCGAAGGACATTACGGGAGAGTCATAGTGACCTGGATGTGTGTGTGTCCGCAAATTAAGGGGTTTGATTGGTTGATCTGATAAAAACAAACATTTCTCCAAAAATACCCATTGTCGGACTGATCCGTGATAAGTCCTTCGGACCTTAAATGGTTTCCATTTACCTAGTTTAGTCAATGAATATATTGCTAAAGTAGAGTTAACGTATAATATTAAAAAATTATTCGGGTGTTACCTAAATACATAGCATGGACTATAAGTGCAAATATTGGTATAGCATTTCTACAATAACTTTTTTTTATAGTAATGATGCCAACATGTAAACCTTAAGTCAGATTTTAAATTGGCTAGCATTATAAGCGCCACTCACTATTTAACAAATTATCTTAATGTCGACTAAATTAAATGGCTAACATAGTTAAATAGTTTAATGATTAGAATAATTTAGTCAGTTCAATCTCTAAACATAATCACGATTTATAAAATGCAGTATAAAATCTAGCAACAAATGAAACAAAAAGATATAAACAAGATATCATAATAATCTATGAGAAGTTACAGAAAACTTTTTATAAGAATGAAATTCAAAACTTTTTTTAATTGCTTGTCATTGTTGTCATTGACATTCGCATAATTAGTGTATCATTTTACACTTCAATCATGAATTGAGTATTTTCACATAAACAACATTCAAACAAGACTTTACCCCTAAATTAAAAATAGTAATAAGAGGTAGGTATTACGTTATATAGTGAAGAGCAAATTCTCATTAGGTATTCGTCAGAAATAAAGCCTTTGCAACCATGTACTCACGTGACTTTTGTGTAAATCAACCAACCGGGATCACAAAATTTTATTTACATGAATTAGCCCAAAGAAGCAAAATATGAAAAACAGCCGTCTAAACCTGTCTTAAATATTAACAAAAAATGTCGGGGAGGCAACTTTGCTTATAAGTCTACTTTTTTCCTAACCTCACCCAAACGTTAAACTATCTCTAATTCTGATTTTAATTAAAACTTCGAAAAATCACGTGGGTACGTGGTTTTAAAAAAAGGAAAAAAAGAATCGTTTTAAGATATTTATCTATTAGATTTTACCTGTTGGGAAAACCTCTACCCGGATATTATTAAATTGCCGGGTTATCCGGATAAATTACCATATCATATAATAGCAATTACCATCCTAGATTATCTTTAGTATAGGTGGGCAATTATAAATAAAATTATAATACTGTATATAAAAACTAACCATTTAAAACTAAACTCTACTCTCGCTCTAACCTTAAATATTTGTAAATTTGTTTAATTTAATTCAAAATAGTTAATTTTTATTATAGTTTTATATGCTCACTTATACTAAAGATCAACCCAATCTTTATATCTACTTTGTGCTAGTGGTTAGTTTGTGATAAGCATCAACAAGCTGCGGATATTGCTTTAAATAAATATAACAACGTTAAAATGGTTTTGGTTTTGTTTTTAAAGTAAAATCTTAACAATAATTAAAAAATGTTAAAAGACTTATTTCGAAGAGCACGCATAACTGATCCAATCTCAGTTATAAAATTCCAACGTTTTGTTATCATCACATTCATAATATTACTATCTGCTATATTTGGCTTACTATGTAATGATATGTCTAAGGAAAATCCTAGTATTAGTACAGACTTTATCTTACCTGATAAAGTGCCTTTACCAAGTAAGAATTATTAAGTTGAAAGTAATAAAAATAACTTTAAATCAGATAATATATAACATAAAAGCTTTAAATCAATGTAGTGATCCTATTTTATCATCAATATAATTTTACTATTGAATGTTTTCGTAAGTATTTAATTATTTTTATAAATTATTTCATATGATACAAATAATATATCTGACTCTAATTATTTCAGTAAATTTTATTTCGGATTGCTCTGACTACATCGTTCAACCTAAATATAATGCATACTTGACTTCGACTCTTCGTCCTTTTGTTGGAAGCTTTTTGCCTAAATATGATGAAACCACCAATAAAGCGCTATATATAATGCTTTTTATTTATATGACAGATCCTGAATATAACGCTTCTGATGTATTGCCCATGCAAATGCAGGCATACGATAGAGGCAAGATTCCTATAAATTAAATATAATATTTTTTAATTACTTTACGGGATAATGATAATAATTAGAAATAATAACTTATTTAGATTATTTTCCAAGCAAATTTAGTAATCCGCTAACGCCATTTGAGATGTCACTTTTCTCAAAAAATGAATTTTATTTATCGCAACTTACAAACGACAGAGTTGTATGTATATTTAATAATTTCAAAAAGTGATAACTTTACTTACAATATTTTAAAAATTTATAGATATATTATTGGAGATATTATAAGATTATCAGGAATATTATAATTCCAGATATTTCAAGTTATCTTGGTTTTGCAACGCATTATCTAAAGCTACCTTACCTTGAGTCAAATATACGTAAGAACGATTACAATAAAGCTTTTTTTGAATTTTTATTTTCATACTAAGATTATTTGTGTTATTAACTATAGAGCCTATTCCATTTCCTCAAGCAACTAATCAAATAGATTTAAACAGTAAGAATGCTTTATTAAAATCATGTTTATTATTTACCATTAATATCTAAAAAAGCGATGTTGATTAATAACTATAGAGATTTCAAACGGAACCTTTTATACAGTGCTACAGTTTATGACAGATCATCCTAATATTTCTATAAAAGAAGAAAAAGAGCAAAGGTAAAATAGTCTAACTAAATTTATCTTGCCAATATTTTTATCAATATTTATTAAACAGTTTTATAATGAATGTTAATAGGAGTAAATCTGTAAGTAGTCACATTTCTTACAGTAAAAAAATAGTAATTATCATAATTTTGAATTGAATAAATAGGTTTTAAGCTTACTTGGTATTATTGGTGGACTTTGGAGTACCATTACAGCTCTTTATATATTTTTATTTGGTAAATTATCTTTAAAATCAAATCACAATCTAATAATTTGTTGGTTCACCTATTATTATCTTAAAAAATTATTAGGATTGGGATCAATTTCTCCATGGGGTTTTATGCAAAAGAAGCTATTCAAAAATAAATATAAAGAAAAACTCTTACCGTTTGTGGTTGATTTACAATCTGGCGAATTTGATACTAAAGAAAAATCAAACATCAAAGAAAATAAAAATTCCTCAATGCAAAAACGACTTGATAACTTAGAAAAAAGAGTTAGACTCTATGAAAACATTATCGATATCTCATTATTAACTTCTATTGAAAAAGATAGTAGCTCTCCTAATGTGAATAATGGAGAGATGGATATAGATTAAATGTCAAATTTTTAGAATACATAATATTGTATCCGTAATTAGGTCACATAGTACATAAATTTAGTATAGATAACCAAAAGATTTGGTCTACAATCCTTGTACTATCATAGTTTCTGTGTTGATTACAAAATTTGTCGATTCTCAACCAACATGTGTTTTCCACTGGTTGAAAAGCAATTTAGTTTGATTTTTATCATACCACGATGATTCAGTAATTAATAAATTCAATAATGGTAATGTGGTCTGTAATTATACGCGTATGATTTTCATTTATGAAATAAATAAGTTTTTAATTAGAAAAAAACTTTCTTTACTAATCAAAATTACTAAATTCTTCCTGTTTACTTTTAATCAATTTTATTGCTAATTTAAGTCCCGTGATCTGTTCGTCGATCATTCGAATTTCATCCATGTTAGTAATCAACATAATTTAGCGCAGATTTCAGTCGTGTAAAAATCTTATTCTAAAATATTACTCAAGAAGGTATTTATGCCTTTAAAAAAAGGGGTTCTCACAAAGCTTAGATTTTAGATACAAGATTTACAAATGTACTCATTGTATTTTTTAAGATGACGAAAGTTACATTTCAAAAAAAAATTTTAATTTTTAATTTAGGCATGACATGTCAATAACACTATATTATTAAAAAGGGTTGATACCATTTTTTTTATTTTAATTATATGATTTTAGTTGATTCGAATAAAAAAAATTTCATTGAATTTGGTCAGGCGGTTGTCGAGATATCTTTGCTCAAAGTTAAAAAAAAACACAAAATCCTATCAAAATAATTCCTTGGACATTTGTGCAAAGATATCTCGACAACCACCAGGCCAAATTCGATGAAAGTTTGTTAATTGAATTGTCTAAACACGTACAATCAAAATAAAAAAATTCATCGAATTTGATCAGGTGATTGTCAATATAACTTCGCTCGAAGTTTATCAATATAAATTGGACTGGCAGATCCTCGATTTTGATTGGCTAACGGCCGAGGATCTTCGAAATTTGGCCCACATTACAAAATTGGTTACTAATTTCCGGCCGGAATTAACTTTTTAATTTTTTTATTACAAAAATA